CGTCTCCCTCCTCTTTCTTGGGTTTCTGCTGCCTGAGGTATTCACTGAGCACTCGGTCAGTTGGGGCCATCATATATATATGTATATATATACATATATATATATGTGTATATATATGTATATATATATACATATATATATGTATATATAAATAAATAATAATTCCCCACTCGCGCCTGTGGGCGGTCTATCATTCAAGCTCGGGTCCTCGGGACCTGTTCAGTATCTTAGCTGTATACTGTATATTCAAAAGGCTACTGAGTAGTCTTCACTTTATCATCAAACATTAAGTTCACAAGTTTTCTCGTTACAACAATTACTGTTTTTGAATAGACTGGGTTTTAAAAACATGTTTTACACATTTTAACTATAACTTTTGCACGTAGTTCAACAGAAAGTCCAATAAGAAGCAATACACAATAACAGAAAACAGTATCAGCTTGATCGCATTTGGTTACAAAGGATTTGGTTAAGCATTTGTATAAGTATCTCTTCATGATTCTGAATATACAAAATACTATGGATATGTTGATATGGGTTCCAAAGCAACTAAAGGAATATTGTATATACATTCTCATACATTGGGCTATTAAGCTGTTTAAGCAGCTCCATTTAACTTTGACCTAAAATACAATATAAAACTATAGCAGGCAACTCCAATATAAAATAAAAGGTATGCCTATAATTTGGGCTTACCTCTACTAAAGTAATTATACATGTGGAGGATACTATGACACATATAGTAAAATAATTGAACTAACACTAATAGAAATGAATAAATAAACAGCTAAAAGAAATACATACACGAGCAAAAGCAGTCTATAGAACATTTATAGAGCTCATGTTGGAAAACCCAAGAGTGTTTGGCACAACACTACATTCAGATCAGAATTTTGACTGTAAAAGCTGCCAGACAGTACAGCATTAAAAAATTAATTGACAAATAAATACATTTGGAGGATGACTTCAGTAGCATGTTGTCATATATACCATAATTCTAAGTGTTTTATTTTTATATAAGTGGATAGTGTTTAATTGACCCAGATCTCTAGCAGGATTTTCCAGGGAGACAGTGGGAAACTAAGTATCTCCACCCAATGTGATATAAAGAACTAACTTTTAATTTAAGCCCAAATCAAATCATCATTCATCATATATTGCAATAAATATACTCTAAGTTACATGGAAAAAGCACAAGGCTGCTAAACTATTTTATTTTGAAGTGTAGAGTTTAAGGTGATATAAATTTAAAAAGGCCTGTCTTAAAAGTTTGAAAAATTCTTTAAAAAATGAAACGAATCCCACAAGTTTAGTTTGAGGTAAAAAGGGGCTCCAAACTGGTTCTTCTAGTTCAGGAGGTCAGAGGTGCAGCTGGTATGCAAAAACCTGTTCAGTATTTTAAATACACTCCTTCCCATTTCTCCAATCCTCTGCATGTCCCACCCTAACGGTACATGTAACTGCCATATTAGGCATCTCACACCACTTGGCTCATGCTATAAAAAAGATGCGGGATCAGACTTTTGGTCACCTGAAGTGACCCACATCCAGAGGGACCAGGATGATGCTTTCCTTTGTCTTTGTTTTTGTGCTCGCTGGTGAGTTGTCTTTCTTCATATTCTTGTCTACGTTCACGTTTTTAAAAGGAAGAAATTATTTAGCACGAGTGCACTTTTCACCCTTCTCTCCCTCCTCGTGTCAGGTTGTGCATCAGGAGACATTGAGAAGAGGATTGTTGGGGGAGTATCCTGTAATGAGGACAGGCAGTATCATGTCCAGATAGACTCTGTTCAGGGGGGCATGACCTGCGGAGGCGCTCTGATTAACACCCGCTGGGTCATCACGGCTTCTCATTGTGCCGAACGGTAAGAAACTGCAGCTTTTGTTGAGTCACTTCACCAATGAGAGGGAATGGTGTTTAAAGCTAGTGTGTCATCAGGAGCACGAAGTGAAGGGGAAGTGAAAATCAAAGATAAAACAGAATGACTCAAGTTTTAAGCTGTTCAGTAATATTGTTGTTATTATATTATGTACTGAAATAAACAAAGCAATTTCTTTTTTTTGCAGGTTGGTCAAAGTGAAGATTGGCTTAAACAACAAAGTACCATTATTGAAAAAAATTAAAGGTTTTTTTAAGAAGCTTTTTAAAGGATCCCCCAAAAATCTTGAGCAGAACATTGATCCTAAACAACAGTTTACCTTCAAAGACGGTGATCAACCCCATGATATTATGCTGATAAAACTGAATGAGGATGTGAATCCTAAACTTCCCACTATCAGGCTTCCTCCTGCTGAAGGGTGTCAAAAACCAAATATGAATGATCCTGTTCAGATTGGAGGATGGGGTTTCAAGACAGCTGATGTGAAAAGTAAGGAAACCCTCAGACACTAGATCCAGTTTTTGGAAATAGAAATAAGTTTAATAATGCTTTATCTTATTTCCTCAGAGACCAGCAACCCCAAGAATTTAAAGTGCGCTATGACTGAGATAGTTCAGTGTGGAGAGAATGATAAACCTGATAGTAAATACTTTAGTGATGAGTCTACCACCATGTGTGCTCATAAACCTGGCGTGGAGTCCTGTTTTGTAAGCAAACTGTTTGATATATTAACCCTGAGTTGGTTTTAATATTAAACTTTAAACACTGACATTTAAAACGATCTAACCTCTGAACTCTGTCTGAATGTCTTCCAGGGTGATGCTGGTACAGCTGTGGAGTACAACAGCATTTTACATGGAATAATTGTCAGTGACCCTGTTGATAAGTGTGCAAATCCTGTTGTAATGCTGAATATTTGTCACTACAGACAGTGGATTGCTGAAACCATGCTGAACAATCCATGAGTAAACCACAGAGGAAATACGTTTCCCTTAAAAATGTCATTTCTCATTTTTCCTAATTTATTCTGAGAGTTTAAAAATAAACTGCAAAAGATCAGAGACCTGAGAAGCTGAAGCCAAGTATGGTTGCAATATAAACAGCTTGGCACTGTTTTCATCTATGAATAAAAATGATGTGGTTACCTGAAGTTCATGTCTTATCTGATGTCTGTTTGAGGCATTTGAATATCAGATGTTTGTTTTCCATAAAAATGTGATCACTTTCAAATTTCATGCACCCTTTTACTTCATATGAGACGTTCTGTAATGTCAGGCTGACCCACGGTTGATTGAGTGCCGGCAGAATAAATCATCTCCTTCATTTATGTTAAATGAGCACAACTCCAGATTATAGTATGTGCCTGCCAGAATACCCCCAACATACAAGATGATTGAGACTATGCTGTAGAATTTGGGTTTAACTGTAGTTTCTATTAAAAATACACTTTCTCATTTTAGAATATAAAGTACCTGAAGTGTAACACAATAAAAATATTTCTGCACAAAACCAAACATTACAATAAAGCCTGATTCTCCGTTTGAATAAGATTTATCAATTTAAATTCAATCAATTTATTTATAAGCACATTTAAAAACACAGGTTGACCAAAGTGCTGTACACAGTAAAAAACGTAAAAAGTAGAACAAACGCAGACAGAGAATAAAACACAAACTCAGTCGCAATTAAAAGCTAAAAAGTAAAAATGTGTTTTCAGATGTGTTTTAAAAATGCCGAGTGTCGGAGAGATCTTAATATGAAGGGGCAGACTGTTCCAAAGTTTGGCCCAACAATCACAAAGGCCCGGTCTCCTCTGTTTTTTAGCCTAGAAGCAACATCAGCTGACCTGAGGGTTTTATTTGGAGTATTTTTAGTTAAAAGGTCAGAGAGGTATGACGGAGCTAATCCATTCAGAGACTTAAACACAAGCAATAACATCTTAAAATCAATTCTACAACGTTCTGGAAGCCAGTGCCACTTAGTGGCCATCTGTCTTTGAGACATGTTTTATTTTTTCAAGGACTGGATATGCAGTCAGCTCACTCTGGATACTGATTACAAAGCTTGAGAGGAAATCATCTGTCAACAAGCTTCCTCAATTTACTGAGGATGAAACCTGAGACGGTACAATGATCATTTTTTATTTATTTTCCAAAAAATAATTAAATTACAGACAGACTGAAAGTCCATGCTGCTTAAAAATTTACAGTTCAAGGTGAACCCCACAAAGGTTCGCCTCACATCTGCTAAAAAAACATCACGATGATCCCTGAGACTTCTGGGAAACTATTCTGCGGACTGAAGAAGAAAGCTTAACTTTTTGGAAGGTTTGAGCCCTGTTAGTTAGTGTAAAACTGGCACTGCATAAAAATGAGATCATATTAACAGTCAAACACGGTGGTGGTAGTGTGATAGTCTGGGTTTGCTTTGCTGCTTCAGGATGACCTGCTGTGATTGATGGCACCATGAATGTTGATCTCTACCAGAAAATCCTGAAGGAGAATGTCCGGCCATCAGTTTGTCCCTTGAAGCTCAAGCACTCTTAGGTTACGCAGCAAGTCCACCTCTGAATGGCTTAAAAAATAAATAAAATGAAGGTTTCAGAGTGGCCTAATCAAAGTCCGGAGTTAAATCAGATTTAGATGCTTTGGCATGATTTTTAAAGGGCCGCTCATGGTTGAAAACCCTCCAGTGTGGCTGAGGCAATTTTCCAAAGAAGAGCGGGCCACAATTCCTCCCTCTCGCCCAGAGACGAGAAAGACTCATAGTCAGTTAAACCAAATGCTTGATTGCTTTACTCAGGCAATCTTTGTCTTGTCCTGAAATTTCTTTGATGATCTAAAACATATGAGTATGACAAATATGCAAAAAAAATAAAATAAAAATCAATCAATCGTGAAGCAGGTAAATACTTTGTTGCAGCACTGTATTAACATATTTTTGTCTTCTTGTGATGTGTGATGATGGCTGTGGTGTTCTCGTGTTAAATAAAAGGGGTAGGCCTTGATGGTTCCTGGCCTGCAAAATAGGAGTACCATTACTTTTCAAACAGAGGGATAGATCTTCAAAATATTTAAGCTTGAGAAAATTAAATTTTCTCAATTGTAAGAAATATACGTTTAAAATGACGGAAAGCTCTATGTATTATGTGAGTGTAAATGACCTCATTAATATTTGGTAAAGTGTTTTGTAAACTTATGAGTGGCTATTATATTGTTGGAGTGAATGCTTTTATTTTGAAAGTCACAGAGCGACAAGGTGCCGTAAATCAAGTGGCGTAAACCATATGGCAGAAGCGCGAGTTTTAATGCACAGAGAGAAGGTGTGCTCTATGGTTAATGGACGGGAATGGGAAAAAGAACGGCTATTAAGGTGCAACACTGAGTCGAAAGCAGTTTCTTAGCACCTGGTTGATGAGGGAACAAGGTTTGTAACAAAGTTTGTCCTGTAGATATGTATTTTGTTGTTTTACGGAGCATATAGCTGCTGACCGCTACTAAGCATAAAGGCTAAGTTTTCACCCACTAGAGGGGTAACCTATGTCAGTTTGAGAGACCATCTTTTCAACCGGGGATGCTACACCCAGATTGTTCTGAAAATAGAAAAATGAAAAAAAAATTAACTGACAGAATGTCTTTTGTTTTCTGTGAAAACACTGTAAAGCAAATTTAAAGGGGAGATTTAGTGGAATGTTCATCGCAGGGTGTTTAGCCAATGTAAAAATGTAGTTTGATCTCTTGGTTTGTGAGTCTTTTCCACAGCATGTCTTCTATCCTGTCTTCCTTCTCTCACCTCAACCGGTTGCAGCAGATGGCCCCGCCTCTCCCTGAGCCTGGTTCTGCTGGAGGTTTCTTCCTGTTAAAAGGGAGTTTTTCCTTCCCACTGTCGCCAAAGTGCTTGCTCATAGGGGAGTCATATGATTGTTGTTTTTCTCTGTATATATTATTGTAGGGTCTACCTTACAATATAGAGCGCCTTGAGGCGACTGTTGTTGTGATTTGGCGCTGGATAAATAAAATTGAACTGAATTGAGCTTCAGTTGTTTTGTGTGTGTATTGTATGAGTGTAGACATGTTCATAGATAAACATTCATATTTTGGGATTATATGTTGAACTCTGAACACTGATTTACAAGTTATGGAATCTGAAATAAGGGAGTAGGAACAAGTCAGTGTAAACTTCATCCTACTCTTTTTCGAGCATAAACATTGTGTAGAGAGATACTGTGACAACTTGATGTCTATACTTCTGTCTGTTCTTTTTTCTATTTTAGTTATCTTGACATCCTCAAAATAAAACTATTCTATTCTAAAAAAAACCCCAAAACATAAATTAAATAGTAGAGAGTAAAAAACCCAGCAACTTTCTGTCATTAAATTGTTTATTAAATTGATATTTACGTTGGTGCAGTATGCATGGCTGTGGGGAGGATCCTTCCCAAAACTGCAAAACTTATGAAAATACAGCTAAAACACCCCAATTATTTTTTTCTTCCAGATTGTCAGATCTTGGGCCTTATGCTTCACACCTCTGTTTTACAGAGACTGCACATTGTATTGTCAAGTTTTCAATCTGACTTAGTCCAGTAATCACATAAAGTCAGGGACAATAAGCTCTAACAGGACATCATTTATAGATTCAACGCTGTTCCTCAGATAAACATGCAGACACATACAAAAAAGTTTCATATGATTTAATGATATGAACCTATTATCATTACAGCACTCTTTATAAGCATTTGCAAGACTTGTTCTTCAGGCAGCATTCATCTGCCAGGTCTTTGCACAAAAGCACATCGGCTCTTCTGTAACACACACACAGAAATACAAATGTGCATACTGTCACTCATTGAGGTCCAGTGGTGAGTTCTCTGGTTTCATCTCTCAGAAAGGTGAGAAAAGAGTCAAGTGCAGACACTCCTGTGCATGGCGTTACAGTTAAATGTGTCACACAAACTGTTGGACGAGGTCTGGGTCAGGGCTGCTGCACACCTGTTCAGGTGAGGAACGCTGTCACCCTGTGGCTCGGGGCGGGATCAAATAATCTTCACTATGGGGAAGTACTTATGAGCTGAGAAGTCAAACTCTGGGAGCACCTGAGGATAAAGAAATGTATAGCTGCATTAAGAGAAGCACAATGCAACCAATATGTACACAGTTAGTACTTTTTAAAAAATCAACTACTCCTATTTAAATTATCAAATGCATTTGTTTGATTCTTTTGGTTTGTAGCTTAAAAGATCTAAGTTGTATTAACTGTAAATGCAGACACAAACACAAACAATAATACAAGTAATGTGAGTAATGTGTTACCTTGGTTTCCTTCTTATGACCTCCAGCCAGTAGTTTCATAACTACAATATTAGGTTTGGCCACCTTCAGTATACGGTTCACCTGTTATCAAAGAGTAATGAGTGGTTATAGAACAAGACAAGAAAAAGTGCAGATAAGATATCATTGTATAAAATTGAAAACCACCCCAAGATAATTACATACACCATTGCTTTTATGCATCGCAGCCACATTATAAAGCAGTGTGTTCAATCCAAGGGACAGTCACTGGAGCTAATGATGCTAACGTGTCGATGTTCGGACACAGGCAGCTGGAGCAGATCAGTATCTTTAAGGCCTCACCGTCACTACTTTGAATCTATAAACTGGCCTTCTGCACTGTGTGTGTGCTGCTGGTGCCTTTTGGAGCATCTGTGATGAATTATGTGACTAAAATTATGGCTTACTGGGTGATAAAATCCATCTAGGAAGTTTGTGTTTCAGTTTTGTTGATTGACAGAGCAGTATTTTATCAATTTACTCATTTGTTCATATAGGCATCTATCTAGCTAGTAATAGCTAAACATAGGGCTTCATGCATGCATCCAAATAAGGTTTGGCTCGAATGCAAGATTAGTGCTACACATCTGGGCTCAGCACTCTCTTGTAAAAGAGAGTCTTAATCTCAAGAGTTTTACTTCCTAACTAAACAAATGCTAATGAACATAAACCGCTGTATTTATTTCACAGTATTTTGACTTTCTGACCTCCGGATCGGGACTGGGCACATTTTCAAGGATGAGCTTCGCCTGCTGAAAGTGTTTGCTAGCTGCCAGATAGAGGTCTGCAGAGCCTGGTGGAGGATTGTATTTCTTCAGATCAGACATCTCCTGAAATAGGCAAGAAGAGGAGAAACATTTTAAAAAGAAAGTGGAATATTTTAAAAAAGAAAAGATGAATTAGGCCCATAAAAAGACACAGTACCTTGAACTGGATGTAGTGCACAGGTGGAGGGGTGACCACACTGTTGAAGGGGGCGAAGCGATGCTCATAGCGAACCTGCTCGCTGTCCAGTTCAAACTGAGGCTTACGCACCTTCCCATCCATATCCAGAGCTACCATCGTCTGAAGAGAAAGGCCGGGAAGGGGCATGTTACACTTTGTTGTGCCAAAAGTGGCCTAATAAAGGCCATTATTTTTATGCCTACCTTGTACATGCCAGCACACATGTTCTGGTATGCTTGACTCATGGTAATCTCCTTGCTGAGAGGGCGAACTGAAGAAAATCAGAAACAATAACTTCAGTGCTCTTTGGAGAAATATCGACAGGATGATGCCACTTCTACAATGAAGTGGTCATTTCTGATCAGACTTCAGTTTGTATGTTGTGGTTATCCGCTTCACATAAAAGCAACACAACAAAATGTACCTTTCTTCTTCTTCTTGGTCTTTTTGCTGCTGCGCCCTTTCAGCTGCTCCTCTAGAATCCGCTCTTCTGCCATCTGAGAGGAGTCAGCTCTGCTTAGAGTGGACATCAGCCACGCATAAAGGAACTCTGACAGGTACCTACAACCAAAACAAACACATGCTCATTTACAGCAAACCTGCACCCAGGTTATGTGGGAGAGAGAGAGTTCAGCTTCTACCAGTAATTCACAGAGGCATGCAATCTTACCAGTAAATGTAATAGTATTCATGCATGCTGTAAAGCTCCAGCTCAAAGCCACTCAGCAGGTACTGAATCATGATCCTCAGGTTATGATAGAGGATCCAGGTCCCAAGACAGGCTAGATGCTGTCGTTGAGGCTCCAGTTTCATCAGTAAGCTATGCAGAGCTGCATCCACCTTCTCAGCCTGTAGAGCACAAAGAAAGAGTTCTGAGGTTGCTTGATGAATTTAGAGAAACTGCCTGTAGCACGAACTGCAAAGACAGCTAATTTGGATGAACGTAGCTGCAGCTCACTTCATCTTGCAGTGTGGCAAACTCTTCAAGAATGTGTCCCAGCTTGTCTCTCTGTCGAGCACGGTTGTGTCCGTGGATCTGGATGAGGCTGCAGAAAGGCTATGGGGAAAACACTCAGTTCAGTTCATATTACGCCAGTTCAGTCAAAAACAGTCACCTCAAAGCCCTTCATATTGTAAAGACTCGATAATATTAGAAAGAAACCCTAACAATCAGACGACTCGTTATGAGCAACCACTTGGCAACAGTGGGAAGGAAAAACTCCCTTTTAACAGGAAGAAACCTCCAGCAGAACCATGCTCAGGGAGAGGGCAGCTATCTCCTGCAGCAGGTTGGGGATGAGTGGCAAGAGAAAATGAATACATGCAACAGTCATAAACATAATCCATTATAGGGATGAACGTTTGTGATGTTTATATTTTATTACACATAAGTCTATGTCTACTTTCATACGATTTACCTCTAAGTCAGCTACTGGGAGTCAAATATAATAAACGATGACTTAGATATAGAGACTTTGAGCCACAGCAATAACATACCCTGGAGCAGTGTGTAACAAAAGAGTCAATGTAGTCCTTCGCTTGGTGATTGTTGAAGAGACAACACCTGGACAGACAGAGGCACATCAACACATGTGACAAGGTCAATCTGAGCCAAACAAAGGGACATTTGTTCTGTAGCTTAGCTTCTGAATTGTCTATTTGAGGTTTACAACCAGAACTCACACACTGCAGTGCGTTCAGAGTAAGTGTATCCAGTAGCTTAACTGCAGGCCAAGGGGTTTTAAAATGATCACTGTTGATATCTAATCACTTGTTATCATTTATTATACAATATCAGTGTGTTCAATGTTTCCACTGATGATCAGATGTTAAATACGTGGTTACGATATTTGACTAGTTTATAACGGATATTGTTATTAAGTGTTTTAAATCCGATCACATCATATCTCATTTCTCACTGTGTTTCATTTCAGCCTACAGTAATATCATTATTGTGTCATATATATCCTGATATTTTTCTGTTGCACCAACTATCCTCTGACAGTAGAAAGGTTAAAGTAATCAATACAGGTAAAAGCATGTTGTAAACCTCAAATCACAGCTAAGCTAGTGACAAAACAACAGACCGACTAATCTCATTTAGTATTTAAAATAAACACAACTTACTTGTATGAGAGGACTGGTGGGCTGACAAAGTACCTCAGAGCATCTTTAATCATGTCTTGCATCAGGTGGGTGCCAAACACTTTTTTATTATCTATCAGGAATGTAGTCTGGATTGATGGGAAAAAAATGAAATGTAGTTTCATTTACTTTTTTATTAAATACTCCATAGTATCTATGGAGTATTTATATCTATGCAAGTATTTTTCATATTTGCATAGGTCGTATCTACACGGATCACCAAAATAAAACCACAGGTACATTTGAAAGATTTAGGAAAGCAAGTACTCATCTACCTGAAGAAGAGATCTGGAGAGCACACAGGGAGACTGCTCACTGAATTCACAGAAGAAGTCCTGGTAAAAACATCAGCAACAACAAAACACAATCTTTAAGTTATCATGGGAGAAACTTTATAATTAGAGCCCGAGCATGAAACGTGCGAAGGCTGTTTGTTATTATTATTTTGTCCAATGAATTGCCTTTTTGAAAGTCTTAACATAGTCATAAATTCATGAAATTTGGCACACGGTGAAAAATAAGATATTTTATTGGTTTGGAACAGCTGTAGACATGAAACTTGGTACACACGTGTAACATACAAAGACGGACAAAAATGTCCAGGGGCCCATCACCCCAAACCCAACAGGAAGGGGTGATGTCGTGGCCACACGCCACATTTCGATCATTCGCCACGAAACTGCTGTAACTCAAAAACGGATTGAACAAACTCTACCAGACTTGACAGGCATGATGATAGTTTGGCTCTGAACAGATTGATATACCATTTGTCAGTGATAGTTTGAGCGCTGCCTAGTTGGAACAGGAAATGCGCAGTAGCTTATAATCATTATCAAATCTAGATTAAATTTTAATAGGTGGTTCCAGTGTGACATACTGTTAACTAGGATACTTCGTCGCCACCTAGTGGGCACAGGAGGTGTTGGGCATGGCTCGATGGTGCCAGAGTGCGCGGGCTCTCTCAGTGCTGCTTGCAGCTTTAATTTCAATTCATATTTCCAACTGGACACACAAATCCCCTTTGGGGTTGTCTCAGGGTGGGCATCTGGTGCATAACTGAAACAGCCTAGTTTTTAGAAGAAACTTTCTAATGTCCTGAAAAGCTTGTTTATAATAAAACTTAATAAAAAACGAATGCATCAAGACAAACCTCAGGAAATGTATTTACCAGTATGCCATGTAGGTTGGTAGTGTTGATCACGTCACAAACAGTCTTAATGCGCTCTATAAGCTTGCTGAAATACGCCACCATGTCCTCCCTCTTAATGATTTTGGCGTAGCGAGGAAAGGTGGGTGGCAGCAATCTCTGGTTGACTAAAGGCTCAAATCCCATCATGATGGGGTGGTCTGCAGCAATCACAGGGAACAAAACTAATCACAACATAAATTAGAGACATGAACACAGGTCACATTTGAAAAAAAAAAATGTAACTGAATCATCTTTAAGGACTTGCCAAACCAAAGTAAATGAAAAGAAGTTGATTTTTTCAGTTCTGTGTGAGGAAAACTGTTAGTGTAGACAAGTTACATCCAGTGTGGACTTTAGGTTGCCCTTACGATGACTTAACTGGACAACTGGAGCCTCAGAATGATTATTTTATGCTCAAATTCTTTAATTACCCATTTTTGAACATATCTTTTGCAGCTGTAGCTGAGCTGTTGGCTTGCAAATTGCAAAAAAAGGCTTAACTTGTACTCCTCCACTTAACAGATTAAACGTGAATGTGCGTGCTACCTCCTTTAGTGGTGTCATTTTGTGACTGGATGCCATGCTGAATGCTGGAATGAATGGGGGATAACAGGTCAGCTGCCTGTGCCACGAGCTTCTGGGCCTCGCTCACTGAGCTGGTCTGATAAAGACACAAAACAAAACACTTACTAACAAGCCCCCTTATCAACAAAAGTATATATAGTTTGTAAATATCACAGTTATATATATATAAACATCAGGGTTTTTCTAACACATCAAAATTTCATCCTCAGAAGAAAATCATCAGGATTGTTAAAAAACAAACTTCCTCCATTAGTCTTTGTTTTGTTTTTAAGATATTTTGCTTCATTTACTCATATTTTTGTTCAGAAATAAAGGAAAAATGTTAGATAAGGTAACTCATTACCTCAGCTACATGTGTAGTCACAAGAAAAACTCTGTTTATATGTAACGCATACAGTAAACAGAATCAGTCTCTATCTGCTGCTGGGCTTTTGTCAATATGTGCATTACCTCTTTCTTGGTAAAGGCGATCAGTGCAGTCAGTAGAAGGCGTGTGAACTTTATTCTATTGAATAGTGCCAGACACTGTTGATGCTGAAAAAAACAAAGCATGGGAGAACATTGCAGAGCTATTAATACACCTGTTTTTTTTAAAGACTGCTCAGAAAAGTCCATTTTTGGGTCTCCTTGTTTTTTCCCTCCCTTTCTTTATATAACTATATAACTGAAAGAGCTGGAAATTCCAGAGCTGAGTCTTTAAGAGGTCATGTGAGTCCCACACTCTTTATTGACACAGAGATATAGCCGGTAGTGAGATATGACTCAAAAGGTATAAATTACAAAGAAACAGCTAAACAGAGATAATTTGTTCCTGGAGTTAAAGAAAATGCCTCTAGAAAAAAAACTGTTGCAAAAACTCAACAAAAATGCGTGAATGATTTCACTTACCTCCAGCTCAACCTCCGGGTTTCGCTGCTCACCTTGTCGACTGCGCGTACTCTGACGGAGCACAAAATAACCCAGAAACATCGCATGTCAGAAAAGCTTTTGCATTATCAGTGCTTCATTGAAATGGCAATGGCCTTTACTTAAAGCAACAAGAATAATTACCTTAACTTTCCTCTGTAATTCATCTTCTACATCTTTCAGCATACCTGAAGGGATTAATACGTCATGAGAGATGAATGATTACAGTGTCTGCCTGTAATTGCTTTAGCTGTCTACACTGTAGTTGGTGCTGCAGACTAAAGCCCAATCCCAATGTGTACACACTGCTTCATAAACTTGGATGTGTGTTTATGCTAAAACCACGAGGGCCTACTGTCAAAGTATCAAGTGTTCTTTGGCAGAGATTTTTAAACCTTGTCGCACGTCTACATTTCTGCAGATGCTGCCTGAGGGCATTACCCACAAAAAGTCCCAAACACACAATCCTAGGCCTCAAACTGACTTACTCAACGTGTGGTCCTGTGCACTCGAATGGTATCATTTAGGTTGTTAAGAGTTTCATTTTTATGCTTTAGGTTGGAGTTTGATATTGAGCCTTACTCAGTTATGACTGGAAGTCTTCATACCTGTCACCCGCAGATCTGTGACATTATTAGCCATCTTAAAGCCATAGGTCATGGCCTGGAAATCCTCCTGCATAAAGAAATATAAGATAAAAATCACCATTCAGACATATGACAGTTTTATAAATGGGCTACTACGAGAACAACTTTTCAAACAAATAGATTTAAACAACACACATTTGCAATCAAACTAAAGCTGTTTGGGTCCTGAAATGCTACACTGAGCTCCATCTTTTAGATATCTCAATTTTTACACACAACTTACTCACAGCTTTTTCTTTCCCACCTGTTTTTTTTTGTGTTGGTCCATGATTTTAACCTGCTATCTGTTCTGACTTTAGGTCCACATTGAAACGTGCAGTACCACAGTAACCAAACATTTACTGACTGACAGCAGAAAACTGCTCACCTCTTCAAACACAGCAGCCTTGTTGACCTTTTCCCGGGAAATGTCACACACCTTCAGCAAGCCCAGGGCAAAAGCTTTGAGGGCTGGCTCCTCAATCAGGTCAGGGTTGTGAACATAGAGGCAGGTAAACACAGTCTGGGCCAGTGAGTGGCCCTCCAACCATGTTATCTATATATACACACATATTAGAAAACACAAACATGCATACATAAATATGTCTTGATCAGTGAGTCCGCAGTTTGAGTCATCGCTGGCTCGACCTGTATCAGTAATCTCGCCAAAGCTTATTGTGTTTCTCAAATTTTACAATCTACTAAAGACAAAAATGGCATAAAAACATTAAAACAGCTACAAATACAGAATATAGATTAAGCTTTTCCAATCCAGTCACATTTCAGAAAATCTGCAGTACAAAGGAATTACAGGGAGCAGCACATTACTTGAACATAACTTTCAAAATTTTGCCTTATAAGAAGCAAAAGCTAATTCACCAAACAGCAGAAACAGGTGTCGATGATCCCGATGAGTTCAGGAAGACTGAGGTCTTTGACCTTGATGGCACCCTCCTGGAACAAAGAAAGAGCAAAATAAGGTGGTTAAATGTGTTTTATATACACAAACAAATGAAACTAAGCTCTGAAAAATTACATCTAGGATTACATTACATCTCTGCCTGTATACTGTTTTCATTCCATGAAAAAGAGATCAGTACCTTAATAGCTTGCTCAAAGTTGAGCACTTTCCTGTTGACCTGGTTTCCGATCATTCCCGCATCCATCTTAGGATCCATCATCTCTATAGCTGACATGGCTTCAAACAAGCCAAACCTGCAGCAGAAGTAAAACATTTTTGACCTCTGTAAAATTTTTCTGTGTTCACTACATAAAAACATAAAAGCACTGACAATATTTATGGACCGATCCAAAAATGAATGCAAATATCATCCCAATTAAATTCAAAGTCACTTGTGGCAAAAACATTAGAAGCTTTCATTATAATTACTCCGCACAGTCAATGTTTTGAACTATGACTTTGGGACATGAAAACTATTTTAATTGAGGATCTGTGAAGCAGTAAGATGAAAAGGTCGTTTCTAATTTGAGGGACTCAAAAAAGCACTTTGGTGTACTCACAGCTTGTCATGAAGCAACTCTCCAAGGTTCAAATCTGCATGAATAAAGGATGACAACAAGGAAGGAGGAACACGTCAGTCCCTTTTTTTTAACTGCACACACACACACACACACACACACACACACACACACA